TTACAAAGAAGGTGAGAAAACTTCTCCGAAAATCCAAACAAGCAAAGTAATAATTAGAAAGAGATGAATGCCTCTAGAACTTCTGAAGAACTACGAGCTTTGGAGTGATGATGGTGGTGAGTGTGGTTGAAGATGGTCGTGGCTGCTCCTATCTTTATATACGTAAGAAGTAGGCTTTAGGGTAAATCCCTTGAGGAGTTGGAGATAATGTCGAAAAAGAAAAATTCCCAATTTTCTCGGATGTGGTGATCGATCGATCACCTCATGTGATCAGTCTACCACCCTGTAAAAGCGTCTGTTCATCAAAAACAGTGGGTTTACGATCGGTCGATCATCTCTTGTGATCGGTCGATCATGAGTAGATATTCTGAACCGTCTTTAGCTTGATCCTTAATCGAACATATTTCAGTAGAGCGAATATATCCCAAGATCTAACCGTCGAATTGTGGTGATCGAATATTCATTTTGAAGCTGAGATCCACCTCTATCTCGTGGGAAAATATGATATTGATCTGACGGTGGGAACTCCTTCATCTCGAGCGAAACATCTGACGGTCAGGATTTGTTCTTCTTTGAAAAGCCTTGATATGCTCCAAAAGCATGTATTGACTTCAAAACTCACAAAGATGCTAAAAGTATCATGTTAAATCCAAAAACCATTCATTTTTTTTTATTAAATACATATTAAAAATAATAGAAAAAGGATAAAATATCGTATATATCACAACCTTTGAAAATAACAATCTATATGCAACCTTATGATCCATTAATTAGTTAATATCAAAATATGCACCGTTATGATATCAAGTGGTAATATCGGAAATATTTAAGCTGCGTTAACATTGCTACAAAATATTAAGATGAAAAACACCCACAATCAATTTGAGTATCAACTATATTTTCTATGCATTAGACGATTTAAATATGTCAAATTACAAATGAATCGATTTAAATGGGACAAATCCAAAAATTGTTCTACTAATTAGATGAAGAGTTATGGTTGAAGTCCGTGAAATAAACGTCAAAGGAAAAATGTTTTTCACTGACATGATTCATTTGTTTAAATATAAAATTATATGATCTTGTAAGTGTTTGTTGTCTTGTAGTAGTATTTGTTATTTACGACATCAAATTTGCTATTTTCTTAAAAATAAAAATTTAAATATCACTCAATGTTATGTAATGATGACTGATAAATAAAAATACTCTTTGTGGGAACAAACCCAAAAATATTAACCACATTTGCATAATAATAGAAAATATACAACCAAACATTAAAAAACAAACACCACACACGCGATAAAGAGGCAAGTAAATCTCTAAATAAAACTCGACTTATCACAAATAAATGCAATTATTACTTTAACCATTTTATAACTATAGTTTAGTAAATAAAAATTAGTTGTGTTGTAGAAAAATATACATTTGACGGTAAAACTCATATATGTAATCTAACTTTACAAAAATTTTAAATAAAATTTTAAATATAAATCAACGTGATTTAATATTTTATTTAAAACTGAATATTGTTGGATTGTGTCTTAGGGTTATTTTCTAAAGATTAATTACGTCTTTATGATAAAACCGCTTTTTCAAGGGTTACGTTATTTGTGTCATTTCAAAAAATAACCGCTAATGGCTAACTACAAAGATTGCGACTTTACGATATAACCCTTTTTCAAGGGTTGCATTTTTCCGATACAACCACGTTAATGGTTATTTCTAAAGGTCAAATATTTTTGATATAACCACTTGATATCAATCAATTCTCAAAAATATGCAACCTTAAAATGCATTAATAAGTTCAAAACAATAAAATGGTGTTTAAAAAAAAATGCAACCCTATGATTCATTAATAACCATACAACAATGTTAACCATAAAATGCTTAAGACATAACATTGATTGATATTTCAATTTTATTTTTAAGAAAATAGCCAATTTGATATCGTAAATAACAAATACTACAACAATACAACAAACACTTACAAGACGATATAATTTTACATTT